CGTGCGTGAGCGGCATGAGCGTCAGCCGCTGGAAGAGCAGGGGCGCAGACAGCTCGCACGTGTTCAGCAGCGGGGCGGCCGAGACGGGCCGGGGCAAGGCGGCCGACTGCAGCGTGGCCGAGCTGATGGGCAGGCAGCCCAGGGTGAGAGCAGCACCCACACGAGAGCACCTCCCAGCAAAGCAACCGGTCAGACGATTACTGTAATCGTCAGCTGCAGCCTTCTTAGTCGGACCTATCTGGGTGTGTTTATTGCTTTGGATGTGAGGGGGAAACGTTTTTTTGGGGTTCTAAGATGTTGTTTTCGTGCATAAAATAAGACAACAGCTGGCTCATAAACCTAAACCCACCCATTTTTACCTCTGAAAGCTTCTCTCAGGTTCTTTTTTCCTGCCCAATCAGCTCCACAGGCCTGTTGGTAATTAGGCAAATTGGCCACAAGCTTTCCCTCAGGTGTTTTTTGTTTTATGGAGCACATCCCGTCCAGGTCTGCACTGCACGAGCGTGGCCCCCGCTCGGCATGGACTCCGAACCTTGGAAAAAATCTGTGCGCTTTCTGCTCCGTTTGCAGGAGTTGCTGAGAGGCACCATGAACTTCTCCACCCCGGCGAGGGAGAGCCGCCTCAACCTGTCGTCTCTCCTGGCCGATTTCACGCCCAGCACGCACACCTGGAGCCGCCTCAAGGCCGCCCTCTCCATCCACCGCAAGGGCACGGGTAATGGCGCTCGCCACGAGGGGTCTCGCTCAGCTTTTGAGGTGCACGCTCCCCCTCATGATGTTTGTATTGTCCTTTTTTTGGTTTTTAGTCCAGCTCACCCCCAGGGGCTCCCACCCGCCAGGCTCTCCCCAGCGGGCGGCGTTAGCAGAGGTCAGCCAGGACCTCTTTGCCACGCCGCTCCGCACACCGCTCTCCCGACGGCTCCGGTCACAGCTGCTGAGCCACCACTCCCTGGTACGTATTTTATTTGTAAAGAAAAGAAGATTGACAAGCAAAGCCCTGCCACTTAACTCCGAAAAGCATGACGCTCCCTCTTTGCACGTGAATCTGCATCTCGCACGTTTTTTTTGCAGATTGTGTGTGAAGAAACGGACCTGTCGGATGCACAGAAGGTGTACGCCGAGTGTGGCCAGCAGCATCCTCTGCCCTGGGAGGAGTGCATTCCTCAGCATCGTATGAAGCGGTGCGCCAAGATTGGCGAGGGGACGTTCGGCGAGGTGTTCTCCACCACCAATGCTTCTGGAGACACCGTGGCACTGAAGGTATGTCTTGTTTTTTTTAAGTTACAGTGTGTTGCCTGACACCTGTAGTCCCAAATATATCATTAAGAATGCAGCAGAGGGGCTTTTAAAAAAAATTATAATAATAATAATTAACAGCTTTTGAGTCTCCTCTGGGTGTGACATCTGAACCCTCAGTCTGTACACTTAGTGAGCCTCATATCTTGCTTAAATTTAGTTGAGAAATGTTATTACTTGAGTCCCAATCTCCAGGTGAATGAATTTGTTCTGGTTCAGAAACCCGCACAGATGGGAAGTCGTAAGCCAACGCTCATGGATGCGTGTCCGTTCTCTTGCAATGAACTGGCTTTTGCGTTTGCAGGTAATTCCATTGGAAGGTGACGAGAAAGTGAACGGCGAGGACCAGAAGAGCTTTGGCGAAATCCTCCATGAGATTATCATCTCAAAGTAGGTACCAGTCCGATCACAAACTAAAAGGTCCGATGGGCTCCTCATGCGCACAATGTCACATGGGAATTTCCTTTTTTTTTTTTCTTCCTTTTTTAAAAATTGTCCTGTGTGTTTTTGTTTCAGGGAGCTGAGCAGCCTGAAAGAGAAGCAGCAGAACCAGACCCACTGTTTTATTGGACTCAATGAGTGAGTTTTTATTTAAGTGTTTAGCGTAAGTATTTAAGTGTTAGAGTGACACCAGGCCTGTCTGTGCATTCCTCTTTCAGCCTCCACTGTGTTCAAGGCTGCTACCCTCCAGATTTCTTGAAAGCTTGGGACACATTTGACCAGCTTAAAGGCTCAGAGAATGACCGGCCAGGTTAGTGATTGGGTGTTTTTTTTTTTTTCTCTCCTTTTTAAGTTGGACTTCTGTCACCAAATCATAGGGATGTAAATGAGCCCCAATCAGTTCAAGAGAATTGGACTGTTTATCATCTTTTTTCTTTTCAGATTTCTTTCAAAAAGATCAGCTATTCATCATCCTGGAGTTTGAGTTCGGGGGCGTCGACTTGGAGAACAGCAACGGAACGGTAGGGGCAGAATGAAACGTGCACTGGATCAGGAATGTGTTTGACTGGCGCGGCCTCTAATTTGAGCCCTTTTTAAAGCTGGCGTCGTTGGGGGTGGCCAAGAGCATCCTGCATCAGGTCACCGCTGCCTTGGCTGTTGCGGAACAGGAGCTGCGCTTTGAACACAGGTGGTGTATTTACACACACCCGGAAACTCCAAAACTAACTCTAGGTGTGGGTACTCTGCTGATCTGGTCATGTAGTCATGCGCCGGAGCTCAAAGCAACGCTTTCAAAAGAATTTCAATGCACAAACTATCCAAAATTGTCTAGTAGATTTTAATATCCATTTTTAAAATGAAATTTTTAAAGAAAACTGACAACAATTTTTTTTTAATAATCATGAAAGGACTTGATTGGCTTCTTTAGTAGTTAGACACGAGTAGGAAACCAGTGCTATTAGTCGGTGTCTTTAAAGCACACCAGAAAACAAACAGCCTGAGTCTGACATCCAGCTCTGCAGTGGCCCTGTTGTTGTTGTAGATTCGTAGCAGTGAGACGGATGACTTGTTTGTCTGCAACGGCCCCAAACTGTGTCTGTTTACTGCAGGGACCTCCACTGGGGCAACGTGTTAGTCAAAACAACCAAGCAGAAGACGGGGAGCTTCCTCCTGAGTGGAACCGCTCACAGCCTGGAAACCAAAGGGGTGCTGGTCCGCATCATCGACTACTCTCTGTCGAGGCTGGAAATAGGTCAGATTTTGTTTTTCTTGTTTTTTGTCATTCAGCTCTCCAACTTGTTTGCCATATTATTTTAAAGTTTTTAATAGTAATAGAAGAAATTCTCCATATTTATTGTGCATACCCACCACCTGTGGAACATGTCTGCTGTCCCTCAGATGACCTGACCGTGTCCTGTGACATTTCGAATGATGAGGAGCTTTTCATGGGCCAGGGAGACTACCAGTTTGACATCTACAGACTCATGAGACAAGAGAATGGGTCAGCGACTGATGAAATGCTTCTCTTTTTCGCTGCGGTTCAGTTGTTTATAGATGGGACATCATCTCATCACATATTTTAAATTATGTCTGTCATCATTTGCACACTATAACTATTATTTTGAATATGAGGAATGGTCAGCACAGATCATCCACCTAATTTGTTTACATATTTGCTTCCACAAATTCTGTAATCTATTTAAAGTTGTCTTGAGGATTTGTTTTCCAGGCTTTCAGAAGGTCTGTTTTATAGTCATCCATACATAAAGACACAAGTGCCTAACTTGTGTTGTCCACATAAAGCAGAGAACCCAAATTAAACCCGTCTCATAAAGATCTCATTATCAGCAGTGTCAGGTGTCAAATTGCGGAGCTTGTTCCAAAATTCTGGGCTTTCCTGCTTAGCTCTTCAGATTAGCAAAATGTGCATTTGTCAAACATGCAGCTCCATCCAGCTATTTACAGGCTTTGCATATTTCTGACCTATTTTTCAGAGCTAAACCTTTTTGTTCTTTTTGGCCACGTCCTGTCATCCGGTGGATTATGGGAACAACGGTCGTCACATTTGTTTGATCTCCTTTCCACAGGAACAACTGGAATAACTACCACCCACACACAAATGTGCTGTGGCTCCACTATCTGTGCTCCAAGCTGCTTTCCATGAAGTACCGGACCCAAGGAGGACGAGGCACCAAGGACGCGCGCCAGCAACTGGCTCGTTTCCATGACAGCATCCTTCAGTATCGCTCTGCCACGGAGGCGCTTCAAAACTGCCCCATGTTTCACTAGTCAGGCAGCGGGAAGTGTGAGGAGGCTCACACGGACCGTGTTGGTGAAATGTCCCTTAAGAATTATTGTCACAAAGACTGTTAAAATTAAAAAATGTTACTTAGAAAAAAGAAAAAAACGGCCTGTTTCTCTTCAATTGGTTGGTTATTGTGGCTCATTTTCAATTATCTTTTAATTTGTAATTATGTGCGAATGCCAGAAGAAAAAGAAAAAAAACGTGTAAAATAAAATGTTTAACTTCCTGTTGCTTGGCAACACTCACTTTGATGTTTAACACCACTGAAGTTGGATGTCCATGGGTTTGTGTGTTCAACATTTCAGCACTTAAGCCTGTCAGCTTCTATTTTTTCTTTTAGGGGTGCACAGAATGTACTGTATGACTTTAATGTAGGAGATGAATGTTGGAAACCAGCACTCCTCCATATTTGTGCAAATCTGAGACGGTTGGAAAAGAAGAAGAAAGTAACCAACAACGACAACAAAAGAGGCACTTAGAAAAACAAAATATGTTTACTCAATATCTTAAGATTAAACATTTTTGCATTGAAACAAGCTTAATTTGGTATGGTGAGTCATATGTGTCCATATAATTGTAGATTTTGATTGAATATGTTGAACGCTTCCATACTTATAGACACACTGTTCGTTTAAAAAAAAAAAATCATAGTTACACTTGCCTGGAGTAACTGTCATAACATTGGAGCAACAGATGCAGTAAAAAAAGGAAGACTGCCTTTTTTTTCTTCTTTTTTTTTCTTTTCTTAAAAAGGACACGGAAACATCTCAAACCATACAAACAAGGTCAGGCAGACTTATGTTCTGAGAAGAGGTCAGGCATGTGTTGAGAAGCACTTTTTGGTTGAGCATTGAGGCAATGTTTGAGATGGCCTTGCTGGTGATGAGCCCATGAATGTGTTGACGTATGCGTGTGCATCAGTGTGTGCTTCTAAAAATTGAAGGTGTCTGTGTGTCTGTGGGACGTTACCTGTCTGAAATCGAAGCAATGACCTGTATATGAGATGTACTTGCGGCTGCTGTGTGTCTGTGTGTGTTTTAATGTGTGTTTGTGCTCAGAAGGAGAAGTATTTGGTGAACCACTCCTGCTTCAGCCCTTCTATCCCCCTCTGCTCCAGGTACGGGCCCCTTTAAAAAAAAATAAAAACACAGGCACCGATTAAACGTATTCCATCCATTTGACAGCAAATTTTCATCAAGTTACAGACTATTTATTACTTGTTCTATAACGTGCTGCTATAGTTTTGGTTTACGGAAGTATTATGGAACACTGAACTGTCCCGTGGAGGGAATGTGTGTCTGGTTGTTTGTCTCTGTGTGTCAGCTTATCTAGGGTCTACCCCACCTTCTGCCCAGTGACAGCTGGGATAGGCTCCACCCCCCACAACCTGCTAAGAGTAAGTAGTATGGATGGATGGGTGAAGCTCTTATGAGCTTAAATGAGTAGAAACAGAATTATGTGTCCCTTCCACATTTGTTCATATCCCAGCCGGCATTATAAAAAAAAAAAAGCTCATACCTGATCGAGTGGGCCTGCAGGTGTGCGTGTGGCTCCTGGCAGGAGGGGGACACGTATCGGATGCCCGTCTGCGGTGAGGGGCACACGGGAAGAGGCGCGGTGGGCGCCGGGGTGGGAGGGATGCAGGAGGTCCGGGACCTGGTGGAGCGGGCCAGGGAGGGGGAGGACTGTTGGCTCAGGGACAGGGAGGTGTGCTTGTGCGGGAGGGAGGAGGTGGAGTAGTGGGGGGAGATCTGGGGATGGGAGGAGGACTGGTGGGGGAGGGTGGAGGAGGAGTGCTGATGGACAGAGGAGGAGGAAGACGAGGAGGAGGAGTGGGGGAGGAAGATGCTCCTGTCGTAGGCGGCTGTGCTGGTGACACGAGGAGGCGACTCCACACGCTTCGTCTGCCAGGGGATACGAATCACAGAAAAGGAGAGTGATCTTTAAAACCAGGATAGAACTCTCCTGTATGAATGTTCATTCACAATTCTTTTCTTGTCTGTCAAAAATCTGCAGTCTGCAGCAGTTTAGGGAATGGCTTCACCTGTAACAATGGCATATTACGCCCCCTTTTTTCCCCACAAACTGCCCTTTATGAAACGTTTGGTCAAAAATGATAGAGAGCTAAAACAGCTGCAAACAGTTAATGGAAGGAGGTGCTTTTAAGTGTGATGAGCATCCGTAATGACTCTTTCCCCATACTCTGGTTCTGCCTCTCTAGTAATCAGCAGCACTTGATAACCCTAACAGCATGTCATTATCTCATAATTCGACATAAAACTGGACCTCATTGACTGCATTCCTCTTATTTCAGCGACTAACCTTAAAAAGTGTTGGCTCCTTAACTGCCAAACTGCTGACATTTAAAATGAAAAGCACAGTATCTAATCCTCTCCACACATTCTGTCAGATCTGCGGATGTTATCTTCACATTTATTCGTGCACCATTGCAGGATGCAAGAAAAGAATGGCTGAAAAACAAAAGTGCACCAGAGGCCAATGTGAGGATAGCTATTCCACAAAGATGACAACTCTGAGAATCACAGGGAATAAGAACAACACCATAGTCGCTCATTGGCTGCTCAGAGTTGTAGGACCCCCCACACAGCAACTGCAGCCGTGCAGAAACTCTGTGCACGGCTCACTGACTGGATCTTATCACTAGCCATGGCAAAACGGGACTTCATAAACCCCGTCCTAACCTTTTTAAACTACTCTGCCAAAGGCGGTCTCACTACTGGGAGCTTTATTCAACAAACCGATGAGCGGCATCTAGTGGCAAAAGTGGTGGTTGCACAGTAGAATCAAGACTTGCAAATGCTGATGCACCTGCTACGCGTATTGTAAGATTTCTTACTGTCAATAGTGAAAAGTGCAACAAAAAACTACCTGGAAATCTGGCTTTTATATGTCCTTGTTTGTATCTATATTGAATACATCAAATAACACATATTGATGCATTTTACTGGACATTGTGGCAATGAGGCAGGAGGTGAGGTTGATGAGTTTATTATACCGTATATTTCCTTTGGTATTGTGCTCTGAGGCTACTGAAAATATTAACTTGTGTATTTCTGGGGCTTCTATTCAGAAATAATCATTTTTCCACCATACATGGGGTTTAGATACACAGTTTTGTGCATTTACTAGTACTTCACAAATCTGTGCTCATTAATATATCTTTAAACTTACTTTATATTTTAAAATTTCACACCCTCTAGAAAAATCTCCAGCCTTTAGATGGAGGGAAAATATCCCTGAATAAACCATCCCCCCTGAGACAGTTCTGCCAGAACGGCTGGCAAAAAAAGTCAGTGCAAAGGAGAGGGGTCAGCGTAATGGCAATGGCAGTTAGTCATCTTTAAATAAAATGCTCTTTCTGCATGTCTGAGGCTCCAGTGAGGAGTGTAAGGAAAGTAAGACATCATCTCCACTGCACATTTTACCTCAATAGAAAAAGCAAAAGAGCAGAGCAGAGTTTCTTTGTTTTTGTCTTTTTGCTAAAAGGTGCTGCGCTGTTGAAGTTGTTGATGATATGTGCTTAATTTTTAAAGAACTGTTACCGGTTCAGCATACAATCAAGTGGGAAGTATTAAAAAAAAGTCTCCCCATCTGCTCAAACTGCTTAGACGAATGTTTTAGATGTCTAAAATCTCATTAAATCACGACACTCTTAAGAAATATGTGCAGAAAACGTATTATAGTGTTAAATGTTCAAAATAAAAAGGTTTTGTGAGGCCAATACAGCTGGTTTCAGTTGGTCTAAATGAGCATTTCCTCCAAAGCTGAAGGCCCTTCGTTTGAGCTGTCCCTGGAAAAGATTCTGTTTACAAGACTGGCAAAGATGTCTGGAGGAACTAAGAGACGCACAAGCTTAACCCAAAAATGCCCCAAACGAACGCATCCAGCTTGTCAGATTTACTGTCAGCTAAGTCCAGCAGCCAAATGTGTGCTGACTGCATATTCTCTGGGCAGAAAGCTCTTTTTTACTGACCATCGGCTGCACCCCTCACCAAAGAAAACCTCACTAGTCGGAATCTTGGCCGGCCGAATGAGATGGAAATCAAAGCAGTCTCACAGACGCAGAGCTGACGTGTCACTGGGGGGAAGGAAGTCTGGCTGGAGGGAGGCCCGTTTTTTTTTTGACGAATACATTATGCACATGACCTGAAAAATAACCGACTCACCCTCATGGTCGGCGTGACGCTGCCCGGGCGGGACTTGCCGTCACGGAGCCTGAGGGCGCCGCCGTCCCCGCCGACGGGAGGGTGGAGCTGCAGCTGATGCCTCTCCTCCTGCGGGGGAAGGAGGACGGGGAAGAGGGAAGGACTTTGACTGGCCTCGTTTACGGTCGGGGTGGTTGTTGCATTCGCGTCCCGTCTGGGGGCCACGCGTGTTTACAGCACGGCCTTATGCCAGGCAGATTAGAGTTAGAGGAGGCTTTTAAGATTTAAAAAAGTCAACAAATTGTCTACGTGTGCGGACTACCTTCTGGATTGTTCTTTTACGGGAATATGAGTGTCAGGGAGCAAGTGGGAAACCAAAAGCAGAGGGTCGGAATCCAGATCTGAGACATGGCAGCTAGATGGTATTTGTCAGGAGCACGAGGTTGTCCTACATGAGGGATGGGAAGGCACCCTCCTGAGCGAGCCAAATCTAACAGCCAGAGATGGATAAAAGGAGTTTCCGGCTCAAGAATAAAGGATCAACCCCCACAATGGAGACAAATATGGCTAATGAGCGCGTCTTCAAAGGATTTTAGTAATTAATCCTCGTGCGAATCTTGTCCCTCAAACCCTGAGCCGCATGTGATGTTTTCCGAACCGAGAGCATCGTGTGTTGTCTGGGGAACACATTAAATCACATATGCATCGTCATTTTTTTCATCGTTAACGTAGTTTTAAGACGATGGGGGGGAAAAGAGACGAAGGGGAAGCTGGTGATATTCAGTATTCATTGCATGTTGTCAAAAAAAAACAAAAGAAGAAGAGTGTTAAAAGCTTGGAACCAATTTTAATTTAATCCAGCTCACTATGCTTTCCTCGCTTCTGACAAGATAGGGCTTGTTTGTGGAAATGAGAAACACTTAAAAATCAGACGACGAATATGACACAACAGCGCTGTTGTTAGAAAGCATTTCCAGCTGTGTATTTACACCAATTTGTTCCTTTAATTTGTATTTCCCGCAGCAGGGCAAGAGAGGGGTGGAGGGGGGGGGTAAGGATTTAATGTGTGGCACCGTGTCCTTGTCCAATATACAACACACAGAACCGATGCATGTCAAAAATTCCTATTTATGGTAGAATATCCCAAGAAAAATAATTTCCCTCAGGGATTATTAAAGTATTTCTGATTCTGATTCTTAAATAATTTTCATGTTAATTAAAACAATTAACATGCAAACATCTGCTTGAAACTAAGTTCACTTTAATAGGTTTTGGGAAATATCTGCAAAATGCGATGATAAATTAAAATTATAATAATGTCCGAGAAATTTTGAGGTAGATCAACTAAAAACTAAAACTTGGGAATAGTTGCTAGTATGTGCCGGCAATGCGAAGAATATAGAACAATGCCCGTTTTATCTTAAATGTAGCAACTTCCTGTTTGGGTCGGAGGTTATCGGAGGAGCAAGCCCACAGGAAAACAGAAAAAAGTTTTCCTGTGGGCTTCCACCGGGCGCTGGCCCTCACCACCAGCCGCTTGATGAGCTGGTCTCTCTCGGTCAGCTTCTCCTGGAGCCTGCCCAGCTGCAGGTCCTCGCACCGGGGCTCTCTCCTCCTGCACCGTTCCTCCCGCTCACGCAGTCTGCAGTTAAATCATATACACAAACACACACACTTTCTCACACACCAGCACTGCTAGCGTTTGGTTTAGTTTTTTTTTCCCTTCCACCGGCCCCCCACCCTCCCTGTCCGCCTGCTTTGTTCTCTACTCACTCGTTCTCCAGCGCCACTATCCGGGCTTGCAGGTGATTCTGGGCGGAGCTGTACTCGGTGACCAGGCTCTGCATCTCCCTCTTGTGCTCCTTCCTGATCTCCTCCACCTCCTCTCTGCGCTTCTCCTCCTCCCGCTCCTTCTTCTTCTCCTCGTCCACCTCCTCCTCCTCTTTCACCTCGTCCTCTCTCCTGTCCTCCCAGTGCTTCTGCGACTCCTCCAGTTTCTCCATTTCCACCCTGAGCTTCTCCACCTCCTCCTTCAGCCGCTGCGCCTCCTCCTCCAGCTGAGCGTCCCTCTTCTTCTCCACGTCCACACTCTCCTCTTCCTTCTCCTCGGTTTCAGGGTTCTTCTGCACCGACCTGGGGAGGGACAACATGTCATCCTTCACGCAGTAAAACAAACGTGCAGAGTTTCAGAGACAAGTGAGCACAGGTCTTTGCAAGTTTGAAGAGCAATGGTCACTGAGACTGGTGGGTGAGTTTTCTGAATAAATGTATCTAAAATATGCAAGAAGTTTTCCAATTTGAATAAGAAAGAGGACCCTCAAGAGTTATCTTCATAACCTCATTGGGGGGAAAAAAAGCCAGTCAGACCGAATCAAAGATTAATGTTCAGGAGAATCAGCAGCTCTCCGATTAGATAGAGAGAATCCAACTGTGACAGCATAGTGACTTATGAGAAAAACTGGATAAATATTTCAGGAGTGGGGCTGACATTCTCTGAAGGTGACACTATCAGACCGAGAGCATTAAAATGACCCTCTAGTCATCTTGCCTATCCCAAAAGGAGATATTTTGCATTTTTTTTATAATGTTATAGCAAGAAAAACATGCAGCTGCAAAGCAACATTATAGTAATGGCTCAGAAAACTTTGCAGTTGACCTTAAGAAACGGAAACTCAATCATATATGTTCTCTATCTCCCAGAGAGGACCTCATATTATTCTAAAAATTTATTGAAAACAGGAGCTACAGATTATTCTTCAAATTTCTGATTTTACCTCTGTGTTTCTGGGAAAATTATAAAAACGTTCGACGATTGAAGGGTGTTTGGCAGGATTCCAGACAGCATGATGCAATCAGGGATCTTTTTTTAAATAACAATATAAGCATAATTTCACCATATATTTTCCCCAAACTGGTTGGTTGTGGCACATGACACGTTTCACTTGCTGTGAGACGGCGAATAACAAGATACTCACATAACATTCAGGGTAAAAAATAATCAGAGCGTAGCTAAGAGGGACAAAGATGTAGAGCTTAATACTATAAGAGAAGTTTTTTTAGTTTTTTGGTAATACACTGTTTCTAAATCCCTCTCTAAACTGCCCTTGGTGAAAGTCAGCGCTCCATCCCAATGGAAACAAAACAATCACATAATAAGAAACGCTCCCACCAAAGGTCCATTTTCTACTATCATTTCATCAGATTGCTGCTTCTCTGGGACCTAACGCTTAATTTCAGATTGCGAATATCTTTGTGTTAGGACACAGTAACATTGTATGCGCTAAGAAATGGAACAAACACAACCGCTTTCAGGCTTTTCTCAAGCGAAAATATCACTATGAATGAGTGAACGAACAATGAATAAATCAACAGCTGCAGCCGCAAATGGTTTCGATGGTGAAAAAAACCCGAGATTGACTCCTCGTACCGCTCTTTCAGCTGCTTCTTCAGCGTTGCGTTTTCCCTCTGAAGCTCCAGCATGGCACAGCGACTCTCATCCAGCTGTCGCTCGAACACCTGGTACTGGTTCTGCTGCTTCAAGTCCTGTGCACAAAAATAGACACACACACACACACACAAAAGATAAGAGAGGTTTTCATTGTTGGGAGTTTCTATTGAGGCTTCAGACTCGTATTTCAGCTTTTAATAAGGTTAGTTCTGCTACACACACCATCGTGCTGTGGGAGATTTTCATTCATTTAAAAGAATAATGTAAGATAGAAACTGCTGTGATCTGATTAAGTGTGCAAACAGACGCAGATTAAATCTGCAGAGCGCGGGCCATAGCACAGATAAAGGCAGCCTGTGTGTTGGTACGCGCGGGAGGGATTAACTTTGGTTTCCGCTGTGTGTGTGTGTGTGTGTGTGTATATGTGTGTGTGTCACCTGTTG